AGGAGACTCAGTGAGTATATGGCACAGCTGGAAATAGACCACAGAATTTCTGTCTCCCAGACCATCATTCTCAGAAAAATAGGGACTTTAAGGAACTTAATTGAAGAAACATTATTTTTCATCACTAAGAATAAAATTGTATGCAAAGTTTTTTTTTTTTTTCTGTTTGTAAAGGACTCTCCAAAACTGTTGTTTTACAGGAAGACTTTGAAAACAATGTTCTCCCAGGGCACAAAAGGATAAGCAAAAATGTATGCCCCCTAAGTGTAGCTCTCCCCAGAAGCTTCACACAGGTTGTTAGTCCGGACACTGGGCAAATACACAGGAGTGGGGAAGGTGGAAGGAAGACTACTCCAGATGCATAACTAGAATAGATTATGTGGCCACCCACCCTGGCAAGGAGGGTGGTAAGATCTGGACAGTAGTATATCCTTCAGCCCTGCCCATGCTCTGAATCCTGCATGCTGCAGCCCACAGGCCCCTGTGTTGTGCAGTCCTCCCCTTTATTATTCCCCATGCTGCAGAAATGCCCTGGTTCTGCTGGCAAAGAGCTTATGGTCAGACAACAGCAGGATTTGTCTCTGGTGAACAGGACATATGCAGACTGAACATAGGTTCCATTGCAGATGTATGTTATAAACCATGGCACATTCTTGGGTAGAAATTTTAATTATCCAAAGAAATGTTCTGAAATTCAAAGATAATGTCGTGTTCCTTTGGTGTAGAAGCACGAGCAATGCATTCACAGATATATTCTCTATCTCTCTATGTTCCTATCTCATCCAAGGGCAGGGTAATAATTTGTACTGTGAAAGCAGGATTTCCCCCCGCCTCACTGGGCAGGACATGATTTATAGCTTCAAAGCTAATTTCACTGTATCTCCCATATTTTGGAAGCAAAGGAAAAAAAAGTCATGTGCATTGAGCATGCATGCTATGAGGTAAAAAGAAACAGTGTCATGTATGCAAAAGCTTGAAAATCATTGTTTATGATACAAATCTCCATTTTCAAAGAGCCCTCAACAGAACCTCCATTTTTTTCAGTAAAGTTCCTATCACTTGTGTGCAAGAATTATAGAATTTACCCCTGCAAAAGACTTTTGTGCAAATGCATTTGGTGCATTGTAATGTGAGATTTTCAAAAAAGTTCAGCACCAAGTAGCTCTTATTTAGTCACCTAGCTAAATGGCCAGCTTTCCAAAAGACCTCAGCTCTAAAATAGGCTCCCAAGTGACTTAGGAACCAAAGTCCCATTTACAAAAGAGACCTTTAACAGATTTTAATGGTAATTAGGTACCTACCTAATTAGATACCAAAAAGGTGCCTAAATACCTTTAAAAATCTGGCCCCTTGTGGGATTTTCAAAAGTACCTACATGCCTAACTCCCACTTAAGCACCTAGAGGCTTTTTGAAAATACCACTAGGCACCTATCTTCATCTGTAGGCACCTAATTACAGTTAAAAATCTGGCACTTAGGAACTTTTGAAAATGTTAACCCTTAAATCAAGTGAAGTGTCCAGACTTTTTAAACAACAGACGCATCTGTGGATCAAGCACTTTAAAAATCGTATCCATGCAGCCTATCAGCAGCAGGTGTCAGTGAATGAAAAATTCACACACAGAAGTTTGAGTATACAGGGAATGTGCACACAGATGAGGCTGAAATTTGGAACCCAAGCCCACTATATCTTGGAGGTCTCTTTTTTTCTTCAGTTTGGTTAAGTTTATTTCTAAATGTAACTCCCCCCCACAAAGAAATGCTTCATTGTTCCTTATTCTTTTATATATATATCCATGCTAACAGCATAACAGAATGTACTCTTGAGCCCAAAAATAAACAAATATGCCAAAGATGTATTTGTGTGCTCTGCACATGGTGAGATAGAAGGGGAAAAAATCAGGAGGGATAGGTTTTAGTTAAAAATCTTATAAAAGACATATTGACAAATATCTTTGTAACAATCAGATTGACTTCAGCAGGGTTGATCACGTGTAAAGTGAAGCATGTGCATAACTATTTGGAGGATCAAAACCAAAGTTAGTCGTTTCTCCAGTATAACTGTAGAGATACAAACCTATTCTCATTTTGACAAGATTTAAACTTCAGTTAAATTAATAATTTTGACATGTGTTTGTAAGATGCTAAAAATAATACACTTGATTTCAAAGAACTTTTCTAATTTCTCAGAGGGAATAACTGCAATGTGCTCTTTGGACAAAACTTGACATTAAAAATACACAAAAGTCTTATCTTCATTCTCAAATGTTTCATTCCCTGCTTACTAAGTATTAGTGAATGTCTGGGATCAAAATACCTTCTATGCACCGATGCCTTAGGATTGAGCCAATCAATCAGTGTTTCTAACACAAAATTTTCATTCCTGGCAGTAGATCTTGTGGGACTAATTCTTTGAGGGGGAAAAAATGAGAAATCCTCTATAACAATATACTAGAACTAAAGCAAAAGCTCTTTCTACATGCTGGACACTGAGCATCTCTGTGTACAGAATTTTTGAGATCCTTGTTGGCTGAACTTTATGCTCTGATCCTGATCTCATACACTTAGGCATGAACAGTAACTGGTTTTAGACAATATATTGTGCTATACGGCCATGTCCCTACGATCAAAACTGAGCTTTCAGTATATATTTTAAAGTGGAATGGAAAAACAAAATCTTTACTACCTATACCATTATCACAGACTAATTGGAAGACTTGAAAAACTCCTTCCATCTAAATAGTTGTCTGCAATCTGAGATATGTACTGTATCAACACAATGACTAGCATAGCATGAGGAGTCTAAAGCCCAGAGGCTGCAGCCTTACTGTTCCTCCTTTGCAAAAGAAGACACACAATATATATATGTATGCACACACATCGAACCCAGCAGATTCTTTCTAAAGTTGGCACTGTCAAAACAAATACAGCTGCCTGTAGCACCCTCCCGCCACTGATGCTGACAATGCTAGTGAGGAGGGGGAGGTGATGAATGCTTTGTTATTCTGAGGAGGAGGATAGTGTTGTGAAAGGTGTTGAGTTTGACACAGCAGTATCAAGAGCAGGAAAGCAAAAGTCAAAGAAATCAGCCTCGTACCATCTAAAATTGCTCTGGCACTAAACCCACAAAAATCAATGACTCTGCTTTCACAGTAGTTTTCACATGAACCTGAGGGAGTGTACAGTGCAAACTGCACCATATGGAAAGTCGCTGTAACTGGAGGGTGAGATTGGAGCAAATCTGGTACATAGCCACTGCATCATACATAGCATTTATGCATAATATTTGTGCCTATATCAGCATAATGCATCTATCTTTGTCTTTTACGTTCACTTTTATGTTTGTTAAAGCTGAGAGGGGGAGAGAGAGAGAGAGAGAGAGAGAGAGAGAACACAGAAAGAAATCCAAAGGATAGAGAGCTGTATATTGATGTTTGGGGGAATAGTTTACACAGTAAGTACAACCGTGCATTTCTTCCGAGTTCATATTGTTAATGCTGCATTATGGATGTTATCCTGGAGATTCTTGTCCCTGGTTCCATCTTTAAAAGAACAACTCAACACTATCTTCTCCCCTGCCCTGTCCTCCCACTCACACCCACCCCCTCCCAAATAAACCCCCAAACCACCACACAAACAAAATTATGGAACCTAGATTCTGTGCCACTTATATAACTTTCAGTGCATCTTTTGGCAGAAGTGTGCTGAGAGCAATGAGTCCCTTAGAATAATAAATAATAACAATGCTGAGCCTGCTATAAAGTGAAGAACTTTCCCTCTCAAAGTATTTTACACATATTACCTCATTCATTCTCACAACACCCTGGTGAATATCATTGGCCCATTTTTACAGATGGGGAAACTGAGGCAAGGAGGTTAAAGTGATTTTCCCAAGATCAAAAAAGGATTCAGTGCTGGTTATGGGGAGAAGAATGCAAGATTGAACACAATCAATCCTCACACATACACCTAATGTATTCATAGCAGTCTCATGGAAGTCCCCAGATTGCTTTTTGCCACATTTGAGCAGTGTGCTGTTTACAAAGGTTTCAGAGTAGCAGCCGTGTTAGTCTGTATCCGCAAAAAGAAGAACAGCATCCGAAGAAGTGGGCTGTAGTGCACGAAAGCTTATGCTCTAATAAATTTGTTAGTCTCTAAGGGGCCACAAGTACTCCTGTTCTTCTGTTTACAAAGAAAGCCCCCATTGCCACAAAGGAGGCTGTTTCCATAGTAGGATATTCAGAGGAATTCAGGGGAGGAAAAGAAGATCTGGACTGACTTACTCTGTCCACATGAAACGGTTAGTGCCTGACCTCACATCCTACTCTTTAACATGTGAGACAAGCATTGGAGAGCTGAACTTACTGAAAGATGAGGATTTTTTGCATAGAGAGAGAAGATGAGACGGATAGATGGCTAGGCCGACATTAAGTCTCTCTCTGGCTTGTGCTCCTTAAATTCTATAAAACTACAACAAAAGCCTTGACCAAATACAAATACATCAAGACCAAATACAGGTCTAAATCCTGCTTGCAATACACAAACTAATGATCTCTTTTAAATCAATGGATTTAGGCCATACTCTACATACAAACATCTTTCACTCCGTGTTTCTTCCCTAGCTGATAGTGACTCAGTGCGCTTCACTCTCCCTTCTCTTAATGGTGAACCAATTTAAAATGCAAAAGTAAACCAGACAGAGAACATAGCTGTTTTGCTTCCAGGTTCCTGCTTGCTCTAAGTGATCGCTAGTGCTGGCACACCAGTACGATATGGACCATGCTGATGCTATTGCTGTAATGCTTTTGCTTTGCTTAGAGTTATTGATTTCCTGCCCCTTCTTGTAAAAGATTCCATAAACTGGAAGCTGTTAAAGGTTAACTGCAAAGGTTTGGTTAAAAAGAATGTTTAAAAATTGTTTAAGATCCTAAATCATTACTAGTTAAAAGTCTACACTTAAAAATTGCACAGAGGTTTCCATTTTAAAGCCATGCATTTGAAAAAAGTTTCCCTTTTGTTACCTGCCAGGATCAGGGTTCAGGGTTGTGTCTTTGCCCTGCTACAGCTGAAGACATACAGGCAGCTTTGAGCTCTGCTTCAGGTATTTGCAATCTTACCAGCTGTCACAGCGGAAACAGGGAATCCTGAACTCAGAATCTGCCTGGTAAGTAGATGAAGAAGTAATAGGCCTGAGGAACTGATGTCTGGATTGGGTAGGGTTACCATACGTCCGGATTTTCCCGGACATGTCCGGCTTTTGGGGGCTCAAATCCCCGTCCGGGGGGAAATCCCCAAAAGCCGGGCATGTCCGGGAAAACCGGGAGGTCAGCCGGGGAGCCGGCCGGCGGGGAGCCGGGTCAGCCGGGCCCGCGGGGAGCCGGGCCGGCGGGGAGCCGGGTCAGCCGGGCCGGCG